CCTCCTCTCCTCTGGCCTGCTGCTGCAGTAGGATACCGTCAGGCGCTGTGTGATTCTGTGCTGTGGTCTACAGCACTGATAGTCCATGATCTATCATGCTTATGTCTTTGTTGTAAATGTCTGTAATATGTCTGTAGATTTTATTTTACTTTTATTTTTTTTGTTTCGTTTCATGTTCATTTTATTCTTATTTGCTTTCGCAACACTGATTGTACCCGTCGGTCATGCCAATAAAGCACCTTGAGTTGACTTGAATTTTCTGTCGGGGGCTTTGCGATCCCGTAGCATTGCAGAGGGTGCCGTAGCAGATCAATATTGATTTGATTGGATTTAATGACCTCCTCAAACGAATCCACCCGATGAGAGCTCCAGTAACCTACTGTTATAAGGCCTTGAACTCCTCTGACGAATCGAAACGATCACCTGGAAACCAGCACTAACTTCCCATCCCTAAAACGATAACAATTTAACTTTATTATTGAGAGATAGATTGTTCTTGAAAAGTTGATGTGTGGATAACCTCGCTGTTGGATTCGACCGAGAGATGCGTTGTTGTAACACAACATTCTGTTATCAAGAGCGATATCAACCAGCTCTCCAAAGGTGTTATTTTCGAGAAGAATACGGACAGAGCTATTTGCGGGAGTGGTGAGAAAGACAACAAAAATGACATCAAAATTGTTATTTTTGAAATCCGGGAGAGTTCGGAGTTTGTTCATTCCTTCTGATCTCGCCCGAGAGCGAATGGGTTCGCCGAATTTTTTTTTGTTTAGTTGGTCTGGGTATTGACCGCAATGACTACGAAGATGACACATCATGACTTTTTTTAACGTTTTAGTCATCTTGAGAAAACCGCTTACTCAATCAGGGAGGAAATTAGCGGTTAATTGATGTAACCCGATGTAAATTTGTACAGTTTGTGGACAAAATACTCCTGTTTCTTGTTAGTCACCTCAGTACACCTTCTTTTTCTTGTTCTTCAGACACAGGTACTGGTATTTGTTTATCACACAGACGGAAAGGAACAGGAGGGAAAGAAAGTAATGAACGAGTACTCAATTTCATAAATAGAGTAGCCGTTAAAAACAGAAAACGATTTTCAAATTAAATATATATATGATCGGTGGTTAATTTAACGTCGTCACGCCTTTAAAAAAAGACCAGCCCGGTCTAAAAAAAACAAACTACCCAACAATGAAAGAAAACGGAAACAACCCCCCCAAAAAAAACACGTATATCGACGTAAAAATTAAACGTTAAAATGTTTCTTTCTCATTTTCGCTCGGCAGCCCGTATCGCGAGTGGCGGGCAGCCCGGGGCGCTGAAGGTCGCGGCCGCTGTGAAGTGGGCTGCGGGAGGCGGGGAGGGGGAGCCGGGAAACCCCGAGGCTGCCCGCGGCCTACAGCTCGGAGCCCGGCGCGGTGTGAAGTGGTTTGGTCGGGGGGAGGGCCCGCCAGCGTCTGGAAACCGAATCTGCTTTGTTTCACAAAACCTCAGACGGTATTCTTTTTTAAAAAAAAAAAAACTCGAAACTACCTGCAGGAATGTACATTTGAAAATTCAAAGGCAGTTCCCCCCTCTTGGAAAGTGTTTTCTGAGCTGTTTTCGCTCTCTTTACTTCCCTATTTAATTTATTTCTGCGGGCTTGTCTGGGGGCTGTCTGTACTCGGTCAAATCTTGGGCCATATTCACGTTTCCTTTTTCTTATTTCCTAAACGCCATGTTTTTTTAAAAATCAAATTCAACCAGGACAGCAGGCTTTTAACCTGGGGAGATGCAGTTCGACGGCACACCTCATTATCAGGCTTGCTGCTGTTAAGTGGTGTAGGTGGACTAGAAGTTGGGGTTTTTTCCTCTAGATTAGCGCTCCCAAACCGTGGTCTCAGTATCCAGGGCAGCATGGCTGCTTCGCACTGCTGGGACTCTGGGTTCATCTCCTGGGGTACTGTCTGTGTGGAGCTTGCATGGTCCCTCTAGGTTTCCCTGCAGAGTTTGTGTGTGTGTGTGTGTGTGTGTGTGTGTGTGTGT